ACCTGGTGGACTCAACAGTGGTACGCATTGAAGACCATACTCTCCCAGAATCTATGCACAGCTAAAAGTTCAGCCATAATCCTGTGGGTCCCTCATCCATCCATGACTGGTTTTTCACAATCTGAATCTTGTATGACCCCAATGTTGGGTCCATGATTGAAATAATTGTCTAGTCAAGAGGATAGCATGTTTTCAATCCTTCACCCTACCTTTTGCTTCTTATATACTCCTTGCCCTCACACTGTTCCCTGAGCCTTTAAGTGGAGAGCTCTTAATTATCTGTTATTCTCAGCATCCTGGGCAGCCATGAATCTCTGTATACATCAACATTTACTTCAAAGAGAGGCTTCTTCAGTTAAGGCTGAGAGCAGCTTTTGTGTTTGAGTACCGTCAGCACAGATGTTTAGGATGTGGCTTGATGCTGTGTCAATGTAGTTCAACTATAGTAAGCTCATCTCTTAAGCAGATGACCTCTCCAGTCAGATTGTTAACTGGACTCACAGCACAAAGACCAGGTCCCTCCTGTGGAATGATCCTCAAATCTAATCAGAAGGCAACAACCGTGTTACTATTTTGTAGGTTGGCACATACTGCTCAGTAGGTTGATTTTTGTGATTCTCAGGGTTATGACTGAGTAAGATCACTGATGCCTTTATTCCCCCATCATCCTGCATAACACCTCCCAGCACTTTAATAGCTGGCCAGCAGGGAGAAAGTTGCCAGCTCACTCCCAACTTGTTTTCTCAGCATATTGCAACTGAGGTACAACCACAATTCTATCCTCCAGTTCTGGTGGGCAACCAAGAGGACCAACAAAAGCTTACATTGTTTGGGGGAGTTTCTGGGGCCTCTCAAACCAACTCTTAAAGGGGTCTCCCACACCACTTTCATGGAAGGGAGAAATAGAAAGAAATCCATTAAAATAAAAATACACATTTTTATTCATAAATGTTCAACTGACTTCCCTGGAAGGCAAGGGTGATCAAATGAGTGTAGTTACTGTACATGCCACAGCAAGAGTACACAGACATACAAGAAGCCACCAGGGGCCTTGCTAGTAGTCACATTATACTTCAAAAGAACAAATGGCTTACTTAAGTCCTGGTGGGAGAAAAGTTCATAACAGCCAAAATCCTACTCATGTTCTTTCCCAAGCTGTGTTTAGCTGTGTTCTTGCTCCTCTATTCCCAACAGCTAGGAAATGGAAACAACCGGAATGCTCGTCAGCTGATGAATGACTACGAAATGTAGTACATATACACTATGGAATACTGGTCACCTGTCAAGAAGAGTGAAATGTTGAAGGTTGCAGATAGTATGATGGAACTAGAAAGTATGGCAGGCATTGAGTGAGGGAACCCCGGTCTAGAAAGCCACAACCTGAATATTCTCTCTCATCTGAGTTTCCTAACTATACCTGGAGTGAAGGTAGAAACCAGGAAAGAGAAAAAGGGGCCATGCAGTTGGGGTAGGAAGAGGCTCCAGAAAGAGGCATAGGAGGAGAGAGTTGATATGGAAGTGGGAATGGGGGAAACGTGGGCCGAGCTTTAACTGGGGAGTATAGCACGGATTCTAATCATTCTTACTAATAAAAACCAGGAGTCAGATATTGGGGGGGGGAGTGGGCAGTTGCTGATAGATCAGAAAAGCAAATCAGCCAGCCACTAGAGAGTTCTTACCTTTACCAATGCTCAGAGCAAAGGGGCAATCCTATCCTCAGACTGCTGCCTCAAACTTTCAGGAGCTCCAGCTCCTCCCAATTTATGTTCCTCCCTTGACCCAGACATATCCCTTCCTACCTCCACCTCCTTAGTGCTGGGATCAAAGGTGTGTGCCATTTCTCCTTTAGACTGGTTCAATTTTGTGTAATCTAGGATGGACTTGAAATAACAGATCTGCCTGCCTCTATCTCCTGAGAGCAAGTGCTGGGATTAAAGGTGTACATCACCACTGCCTGGCCTATGGCTAACTTTAAACTCTGTGTGGCTAGCTTTAAACTCTGATCTTCAGGCAGGCTTTATTTGCTAGATCATAAGCAAAATATCACCACAGGGGAGGAGGGTACAGAAGGAAAGGCGTGAGGAGGTATATATAAATAACACTAAGATGTTTGAAAAGGCCACGGAGCAGGGGTTCTCAGCCTTCCTAACACTGCGACCCTTTAGCACAATTCATGTTATCATAACCCCCAACCATAAAATTATTTTCATTGCTACTCTATAACTGTAATTTTGCTACTGTTATAAATCATAATGCAAATATTATGTTTTTCAATCATCTTAGGTGATCCTTGTGAAAGGGTTTGTTTGACCCCTCCCCACAAGGGTTGTGACCTGCATGTTGAGAACCAAAGTCATACAGCATCATGTTTCTTTACATTTTTCTAAAATTACTGTTAAGTCTTAACTTCATTCTCCTTGTCATCTTTATACCCACACTTCTATACTCTCATTTATAAAGCTTGCCTTTGCAGCAGGCAGAGAACAACATAGAAACCACAACTGGTCAAAATTCAAAGAATAACAGACCATTGGGTGCCCAGCCTCAGTGGCTACATCTACACCACAAACCCTATACTGAAGGCTCAAGAAACATTTTGGAAGTGCAGGAAGGGGGTTATAAGAGTCAGAGGACCAGGAAAACTGCTGAAATTGTTCCTTCTAGAAATGATGAGAAAGCACAACTATGAAATTTCAACTGTATGGTTACCTAAACAAGACCTGAACAATGACACCACCAATTGACATGCCAATATGTATGGGGGAAAATCTCATGGGGCTCTACTCTAGATGAAGTCATTTAATGACTGGTGAGAAGGAGAAAACATCTGCAGGGATAAGCATCCTAACTGGATAGCTAATACCAATTGGGCAGTCCTGAAACCATCTACACATGAGCAACACTAGACAGACTCATCAGGTTGTATGTACGTATGTATGTATTTGTGTGTGTGTGAGAGAGAGAGAGACAGAGAGAGAGAGAGAGAGAGAGAGAGAGAGAGAGAGAGAGAGAGAGAGAGAGAGCACGTGCGCCTGTATAAAACAATAACGGAAGCAAAGGAGGCTAGGGATTTGGAAGAGTGTGAGGGCATGGGAGGAGTTAGATGAAGGAGAGAAAGCTAGGGGTGTGTGATTAAATTTTAATTCAAAATAAAGAAATCTAGCTAAGCTAGGCATGGTGGCATGGTGATATACCTTTAAGCCCAGCACTTGGGATAGGAAGAATGGATAGGGGAGTATGGACTTGCACTTTGTATACATGTTTTTAATTCAGGTGTGTCTCCTAGCTCCAATGCAGAAGGGGCATGGAACCTGGAACAGGCAGCATGATCCACTCACATCACACACACAAGACTGTCCTGATTAATTCAGACTAACTTTAACTTTTGTTGGGATATTTTATCTCAGCCACAGGAAAAGAAATGAACACACAAGGTTCCCAGTTTCCCAACTGTGAAGTATGAGATAGATAGCATCTCACATAGCATATGGAGCATCTCATAGGCCTTCCGTGATGAATACAACTCAGACAGGCCATGGTTACACAGGCATACAGGTGGGTGATATGCAAAATAGCTTCTGTCTTCCAGGACTTTAAGCATTAGGTGAGAAGGATGGCAGAAGAAAGGACACTGAATCAAGGAGGGTTATTTCTTTCAAATTGTTATTGAGTATATTACACCAGAGCCAGCAGCTTAAAAATAAAATGTGGTTTGTTCCCTACTAAGAATTACCTATTAAGTATGATGTACAATGTGTTGTGTGGTGGAATGCAATGGAGCTTTCCCAATAATAAAGCTTATTATAGAAATTACTTACTGTGACTCATGAGTTTATTACTTAGGGGCTGAAGAACACTGACTATGATTACTCTGTATTGTGGTAACCATCACCATCAAACACAAGTCACCATCCTTGAGTGCTTTCATCCCTCATTTCTAAGTACTCTACACAGAATCTGTTACTTGAAGCCCACAGCAAACCTAGGAGATATTTACTGTTGCTATCTACATCTTCCTGTTAAGAATGGATGATGAGGTACTCAATTTACCACATCCTCCCTCCCCTGTGGTCTCATGGCTGGCAACAGTTAAAACTGGAAATCAACCAAGAACTTTAGATTCGTGGCTGGGAATATACAGCAATGGTAGTTATCTATATGGCTAGCATGTGAAAGGCCCTGAGTTTAATGCCGACCTACAAAAATCAGTTGATCACTCAATCAATCAATCTTGGCTTCAAACACCAGACTCTTAACTGCTATATCATAAATCTCTCTGTGGAAGCAGGGCTGGGCTAACGTCAATGACTGAGGCATGGTCAGTATTAATTAGGTACTCCATAAAGCAGAAGGCAGTTGTTCTCCTAGGCCCACCTGCCTAGGCCAGTTTCCTGTAACTGGACCAAGAGGAGGACACAGCATCTCGATTCCCAATGGGGAAGGTGAAGATGGGCATTCCCAACACGCTAGTCTGGACCACCCGTCCCATTCTCCTTCTGCACATCTTCAAACTGCTGCACTTACAGACCAAGACCGGCTAGTTCCATCTGTCCAATAATTGAATATAACATTCAATTCTAGGCATGGAAAGATCAAATAAATTACATCATGGTGAAGGAAGGAATCTGTTCCACTGTGGAAAAAGCAACACAGGGTAGAACAATTACAGCATACTCAAGTGCTAAACAACTTTCGAGCAGATACATTGTTTGAAGATACTTTATTAAGATTTAAAAAAAAACTTTCCATTACATTTTATCTATAAATCCATCATAGACCAAAGGAAAATAAATAAAAATTTGTATCTTTAGGGACATTTTGACTCCATAGTTTTGTAAATCTGAGTTTACATGTTTTCTCACTTTAAATTACTACAGCTTAGGTTCGCTCGATGATTATAGTACCAGGGGTGGCAGCCTTATAGACAGACACCAAGTTTCCATATTCCTCAGGGAAAACATGGTTATTGTTTCAATTTTATCTCTTTACTTTCACACCACTCTAACTGGGAGGTGGACAAGGAGAACAGCATTCCACACTAAGTTCAGTTCTGACTGTACAGGCAAACACTAAACACAGCTTTTCTCTCTAATTGTGGCTGACACTCCATCCCAGGAACAGGCTTCTGGAAGCTAGGAGCAAAGAGTTCTCCTCCTTGGTGCTAGGATCGCTGAGGTCAGAGAGCAGAGAGAGGCCTCTTGCTGCAGGTATCAATAGCTCTTTGTTGGCCTGGCTTTTTACATTTTAATTCAATCTCTTTGTAAGCATCAAAGTACGGTTAATGCTACATGTCACCTAAAACGGCTTTTATTTCCATTGTTTTAAAAAGAAATATTGTTTGGCTCTGCTCTAAAAGGTGCAGACATTTACATTTTCATAACATTCCATCACTCCCTACTACCTATAAGGACTCACAAATTCTACTGCAATACATAAGCTCTACCCCAAAATGAATAATGGAGACAACAATCCCCAGATGAAGAAAAACAGTCAACAAAGGTATCTCAGAGTAAGGAACATGGGCTTCATGAAGTAGTACAGACTGTCCTATGCTAGTATACCTTCCTCATCATTCTTGGTACAGAAATTTGCTTTGTGAGAAGTGCAAGTATTGCCCAAGGAATGGATTATTCCACCCAAACCAACTCCTTAAGACTTGTGCTTCTAGACGGGCCACACAGGACACTGGCTTCAGAACAGGAATATGTTAGTCATCTTATCTGTGTGTAAACTGCATAAACACAGAACTTACATAGATTGTTCACTAGTCCAATGATCTGACTGCTGGGTGTGAACTAGAGCAGTTTGTTTCTGCTTCTCACAGTAACTTGACATGTCTTAAGGAAAGCTAGCAATGGAGACTACCAGGCAGTGGTGAACAACTAACACGCACGTGGGCCTATCTGCCAAGAGGTCAAGTATTTACATGGAATGTTGATCTTGTTTATAAAACTACTACTTTAAATTATATCTTTACATATAAGTTTATTTTATGAATAGCCTTATTTGATAACTAAAAAAATATGCCTTTCAAATATTTCACAAATATATAAAATTTCCCTACATTTTATTTTTCTTTAAACATGTTTAAATTCTATACAAAGCAACAAAAATAATTTTGTATGACAATCATAGATATGATGATTTTTCTACTGGCTGAATCACAGTATTCACAAGAATGGCAGGAGTTCTCTGAGCAGTAGACATTTGTAATATTGTAAATTACTCACTTGCTGGAGACCTATGGCATCAAAGAAAAAGGAGAAGAGTCATCTAAGTATTTAAAATTTCATCTTCCTTCAGAATAGATTGAGATGGAATCTGGCCAATGTCAATCATTTTGGTGACAAAGAACTTAACACAATCTAAGGTTTCTAAAACACACTCCAGCACAATTTAAATGTGTAGTAATTGAATACAAAAGCATGATCACCTTTTCCTTTTCTGTACTCTAACATGTGTGTTACATATTTTGGAATACTTATTTTCACGACTTGAAAAATTCCAGAGCAAGAGAAAAAAGAATGACTCTAGCAATGTCCTCTGAAAAGTAGCTTTGTGATCATTACTTGCCTTAAGACCACACCATTTTTCCTAAACCATGAGGAAAATTTCTTTTCTACATCTATAATATTATTGAAATTTATTTCCAGGTCTCTTGCAGTGGCATGTACCTGTACTTAGGAGGCTGAGGCAAAGGAAGGCTGAGTTCAAGGCCAGAGTGGATCTTCAACTTAAAAAAAAAAAAAAAAAAAAAAAGTATCTGATTTTCCCTTATAGAATATCTGCAACATTTCTGAATGTACTCCAAAGGATTTCGTAAGCTACAATACGTGAGCTACTATCTTAAGAAAAAAAAAATTTGAGTTTCTCCTTTGTTTTTAAACATGCGTACTAAGAACACACTTTGTACAGGGGCAGTAAGAGGATGGGCTCTCACTTCCAGCTCAGTTAAATCCATAGAGCTGCCCAAGGCTGCTAAGTCCATGCTGTCAACTGCAATCATGCAAAGGGAAGGGCGGTGAGCATGGGGGAGGCATGAACTCTGATACACACTGCCTCTCACAGCACAGGCAGAATTAAAGACAAACAGGAAGTTCAAAGTTTTGCTAAGAATATAGCACTGTGCAGATTTTGACTTTGATTATACAGTCATATGCTTCAAATAAGGCTGGCTGTAAAAGACATAAACAAAGCCACATTAAAATTTTATGAAGACTTTACATCTATGACAGTGATACACAGTTTTAAAAATACTACCAAAACCATGGTAGCTGACCTAACCATGCACTCTGTAAAAAAGACAATTATGGAAATTTTACTGAGTTATGAATGTAACCAGCTCACTGGGACCCAATGGGGCTCAGTCTCTAATTTGTCAAATGTTGTTTTTAACTCATTAAATGCCATAGTGAGATCATCATTTATTATGATTTTGTCAAAAAGATGGCCATATTGACTTTCCATTATCTGTGCCGATTTAATCATTTCTTGGAAGTCTTCTTCCTATAAGCATAAGTATAAACAAAAATGAAGTAACCAGGTAATTGCATCATTTCACCTCAACAGACATTTTACAATGGCTTTACTTAAAACTGTGCTGTTAGACTTTAAGACAAGCCCCAAACAAAATCATCTTCTCTATCATGACCTTTCCCGGGTTTTAACTGCTAATACCAGCTATTATTGGACTCTCTTCAGAGTCATCACTAACACACCATTATATGGACATATCACTAATTAGCATAGATATCAGGGCAGCTGTCGACCCAGCATGAACTCATAATACCATACTTTTGTAGTTGATGCTTTTTCTTTAGTTCATTTGGTAGTGTTAGCTTGTGCATGCTCGGAAGGCCTGACACAGTGGTTAATACTACTGTTGAGATTATTGGTTGGAGACCCAGAGTCTTGCTGTGGACCACATTGGTTCCAAACATGCCAGGCAGAAGAGAATGACCTCTAACTCTCCATTCTCCTACCCTAGCATCTTGAGTGGATTACAGAGGTACATTACCATACCAATTCAAAAAACTAAAAAGAATTTACAATGCTATTGTCCAAAATGCACAGACTAAAGCACAACTACCTTTCGAGAATTCTGTATCACAACTTCATCTGTAAAAGTGTGCCTAAATAGTGCATGCAAGCATTTCAGTGCTGTTTACATGATGGCTAAGCATCATGACACCTACCGTGAAGGGCTTTGCGGTTCCTTGGTCATCTCTGCTTGAAATAATCTTTGCATTTTTCCTTGTCTCTCTCAAACGCTCTATGGATGGAGGTTTTATAAATATCACATAGGGTTTGAACTCCAGGGTCCTTAAATGCTTCACTGTCTGCAATAGAGAAAATATTTTTTATTCATATTTCTTCATAATTTCATGATTTCTGGATTTTCTAATGAGAAAATTTCTTGTAATTATTCTTTAATGTCAGAAGGTTATCATTCAGTAAGTTCCTGACAATCAAGGTAACAAACAATCTCACTGAAAAGCAGCTAGAGAAGGCAACTTTCACTTTAAAGGTTTTGAAATTAGCCATTGCTAATATAGAACACAGTGGCTAAAACCACCAGAAAACTAGGTTCTAGACCAAGCTTCTTTTTAAAAGATGTGATGAGGTTGCGAATTTCCTGTCTATAAGCTGTCCATTTCTTTCACATTCTCTCTGTTAGAAGCTGGAGTCTATGCACTCTGCTCTCGATGAGGTCACCAGCACCCCCCCCCCATAAAGCCTTTTGTTTTGTTTGGAGACAGGGTCTCACTATGCAGCCTGGGACTGCAGGGGACTGCATAGGAGCCTGCCTGGGACTCCTAATACTCTAGCCTCATTTCCTGAGTGTTGAATTATAGGTATGTACCAATACACCTGGGTTGTTTTTATTCTTTTTTTTATATTTTGTTCTTCTCTCATACAATACATCCAAACTACAGTTTCCTTCCCAGCACCCCTACCTCCCAGATCTACTCCTACTCCACTTCCCTTCAGAAAAAAACAGGCCTCCCAGGGATATCAACTGAGCACGGCATAACAAGATGCAATAAGAGTAGGTACAAGTCCTCATATCAAGGCTGGGTGAGGTAACCCAGTAGCAGAAAAAGGGTCCCAAGAGCAGGCACAAGAGTCAGAGAGAATACCCATTCCCACTGTTAGGAGTCCCACAACAACAGCAAGGTAACAACCATAGCATATATTCAGAGGACCCAGCACTAACCCATGCAGGCTCTGTGACTGCTGTTTCAGTCTCTGAGCCCCCATGAGCCCTGCTTAGTTGATTATGTGGGCTCTGTTCTGGTGTCCTTTGACCCTATAATTGGCTCCTACAATTCACACCTGGAATTTTAAGTGTTGACGCCTGCAGATTGAAGTATAGTCAAGGGTAACTGACAGAAAGGTCAGAACTGAGAGATAGTATCTCTACAAGAGGGCATCTCCAGAGTCTGGATACTTCATATGCCCCACTGTGAGGTTAAGTAGATGGATGCCATGTGTTAAATAGAGAGAGATAGCGGTGGTGAGAATGAAGGAAGGATGGCAGAGTTGGGAAGGGGCACAGAGGTGCAAGTTAAAATGCACAGGATAGGCCTGGGAGTAACCAGCTCCAGTACACAGGCAGCGAGCTGAGAACAAGCATGAAAATGCCCCCCTTCTTCCTGGTTGGACAGAAGACAGCCTCCAAGATGATGCTAAGGATTCTCTAATTTCAGCTTCTCGATCCCTAAGAGGTGTAATTGGGAGGCTAAACATGCCAGAGCACCACCATCATTAGAAGGAGAATCTTTGGCTCCAGGAGGACTAGGGTAATACTGGGCTTGGGTACCAGAGGATGAGGAGTAGGACATAAGGAACTGAATGTTTTCACCCACAGGCCTTAGTTCAAAGTGCTCACAAGAGGCCCCTAGGTGATATACAAGATCTCTCTGTGGCATCTCAGACATTACTGAACAGTGCCCCATAGATCTGCTGGGTTTTATATGTCTACATTGTGTTCAAGATCAAATTAGAGCAAGAGAACGATGATCTGAAGTGCCACTGTTGGATTGTAAATACAGAGAATAAGGCATAACACAAGCATGTTATGTATGCAACATTTTTAAAAGATCCTAAGTAAATGTGTAATAGCAGAAAACTTGACTGAATAAAAACAAGAGATGTAAACACTGACCTCAGGGCTTCTTCCCCTCTTATTTTCTAATAACATTATGCCTTTATTTTTCTTAACCAGCCCACATTTAAATGAGAAGACTTCACATGCCGCAGTAGGCTCATGGGGAATTGCATGCTTTGTTTACTTACATGAGGTTGGACATCCAACAGACAAACTTTGTTCTTAGCTAGGACAGAGCGAACCGAGTCTATACTTGTACCATAGTAGTTGTTTTTATATTCACCATATTCAATGAACCTGTAGAAAATTAGACATTCATCATAATGGTTTGTGAATATGAAAAAAGCAGGCGGCAAGTTATACTTCATAGGCAAAAGATATTTTTTGCTGAACATGTAAAAAAGTTTTTTTGCAGTATTTAATAAAATAAACAGAGCCAAGCATTTCAGCAAATGTCAATTTAAAAAAAGTCTTCAACATTTTCAAATCACTAACACTTGCTTGTATTACACTTAAGCCCAAAAAAAGTACTTTGGTTCAGTAGAGCGCTAACGTTTTCCATCACCCCCTTTCAGAACTAATGCAATGCAATAAAACAGCGAATAAGCCAAACAATAGAAACTACTGGAATTTCACTGCACACTACAGAGTAACAGAGCTGGGCACTGGAGCCACAGGAGCTGGGAGGTGGCTAATGGAACCAGGGCAGCGATTATGTGCTATAAAAACACAGTCATAGGGCCAAACTTGAAGAAAGCATTTTGATGTTTCAATAAAATCCCACAATACTGCGTGAAAACACACCCTACTTCTGACACCCTGAGTAGCCACACCTCAGCAATGGAAAACTGGGGGAGGGTGGAGTAAGAGCTGGCTGGAGGAGACAGCTTTATTCCAATGTTGCAAAGTGCCGATGTGAGACTAAGGTGTGTATGAAGACGACTATGGGGCAAGCATGTCATATAGCTAGCCATTAATCTTTAAAATAAAGTCCTACCCAAGTTACACATTGAGATTAAATTGCTGGACTGGAAAAAAAGTCACAGAAACACACTGGGAATTTTCCCTCATGCTTCAAAATAATTCCTTTGGGTTTAGCTGAAATGTTGTAGCTCCCGGGTACCCTCTGCCCCCCAAAAAAAAGAAGGAAGAAAGAAAAAAAAGATGTGGATATCAGTAATTGCTAAGTGAACTTTTTAAGGACTTCAAATAGTACTGTAAAATAGAAGGGAATCCTAGACCATCTAAAACTAGATATACAGGCACCAGCTTAAGAACAATAGTAATAGAAAACATTCAACAAAATTTTCACATACTTGTTATTTTGAACATCTGTCTCAAACAAATGCTTGGAAATAAAAATATATTCCACACCGTCACTCTCTTGGCTTCTTCTTGCTCTAGTGGTGTCTGTGATTGGATAGAAAAGGAATTGAGAAAAGTCCACATCAGCTACCTTAAAAAGTATTATAAAGAAATCAAGTACATTAAGTTAGTTTACTACATGAGATTTAAAAACAGAGGGGAAAAAAAAGGGGGGGGGGAATTAGCCGCTAACATACAGTGGAGTATAAATTGAGACTTTTCCACTGTTGTTACAATGTTCAGGTTGACGGTCTAATTGCACCATGGGTCTGATCATTACTCACACCTTTAAAGAATCTTTACTACAAGAAAATACAAAAAAGTAGCCCTATGTGTAGTTCAAACTACTCCCCAGGAAATCGCCTTTCTTTTGCAAATAACTTCCTTATTTTGTCATGTACTGATCTTTCTTTACTAAAGCAAGCATACTTGTTCACTGGGTAGAAGGTAGAGCCTTCTTCACACAATGCACAACGAGTACCTTCTGTGTTCTGTTATAACTGGATGAAATCAAATACCTCCATGTGTTATTTACCACCCTCGCCAAGTCATTAACAACAGCATCTTGCAACCTGTTGACAGTGTGGCTTTTGAGTGAATCATAAAGAAATAGAAAATATAGGCTGGTGGAAAAACAATGACAAAACATGCTTTCCAATGTGGACACACACGTGAAACCCCACCACAGCCTTACCCTTCCTGCTCTTACAATCAAAAGCCCTGGACACCTGATAATTATCTGAGAATCTTAAAACTACATAAAACAGGAAGGATAGAGAACCTGCAGGAAGCCAAGGCATACTGGTAACAAGGCTGGGGCTAGTAGGCTTCTGTAGGTAGTTAGGGGAAAGGGCTATGCAGCTAATTACAAACGTTACTCTGAAAACACATATTGGACTTTAAAAAGTGTCCGAGTTAAAAGAGTGAGGTAGGGAATGCCAACGAAGAGAAGTAAGAGGGTGTGAGACAGCCAAGCTGAGCAGGGAAGAGAGAGGACGGGGGCTCAAGGCAACAAGGCTAATGGTGGCAGGCTGTGTGTCTGTCTGTCTGTCTGTCCCCCATGAAGCCCTGGGGACAGTACATAAGACACTAATGATTCTCACATACTCATGATTCTAGTGACACTCAATGTAACTGACTAAACTGTGGGGAAAGATGGCTTTTAACGGAGGTTCCCCTATTCCAGAAAAGAGACAACTTCAGATCGCCCCATGGAGAAGGAGCTAGATATGAGAAAGTTAAGAAAGACGGAGGCTACAACTTGGTAGCTGTGTTAACATGAGACCCCATGTTGAAATATAAGCTGGACACATCCATGCTGGAAACAAAGAGCAGTGTGACAGCTGCAAGGTTGACAGTGGCCATTCAGTCCTGATGCCTTCTTCTGGCACGCAGGCATACAGTCAGATAGAGGACCATATACATAAAATAAATAATCTTTAAACATTAAAAAGAAAAAAGGAAAAGAAGTGAGTGTGGTTAGAATACACAGAACTTAGTCTAATCTCTGAATAATGGGGTGGCACACACAAGGTGGAGTGTATGATTCAGGAGCCACCCACTTTGTTTCTTTAGACAGGTCCCTCCCTAAACCTGGCAGCTAGGCAGGCTAGCCAGAGCTGCAGGGATGCAGCTGTTTCTGCCTCCCCATCCCAGGAGTAGACACACGTCACCACTTGTGATTCCTTTTCCATTGTGCTGTGGTGACTGAAGTTAGGGCACCCTGCTTATAAGACAAGCATTCTCCCAGCGGAGCCATCGCTCCAACCAGTCTGCTAACTTCTAAAAACATCAAGCCTACAGTACAGCCGTCCTCCTACTTATTTGTTCAAGGGAAACAAAAACCTACGCCTTTTCAAATTTGTCTGCACAAAGTTCGCCATAATGCTCTATCTGTCAATAGCGAACAGTGAGGATGGTGAAGGGACCACTGTATCCACCATCAGGTGAACGCCAGTATTTCCATGCTACACACACACACACACACCAAAAAAAAAAAAAAAAAAAAAAAAAAAAAAAAAAGCCAAGTATTGCAGATGTTTGAGACTCCAAACATCATAGAGACTGCACATGCACTGCAAACTCATGCTGAACTGAAACAAACAAAAAACAAAACAATAACAATAACAAACAAACCAATCTACAAATAAAAAACCTGTGCAAAGACAAAATGGTTTTCACTGTGTAACTCAACAGATGCTCAGGGTTAAAATGAGTCCCCAAGCAATGAGGCAATGAGTACAGAGCGGCACTTGACAGGCTGGGGGCAAAGCCTGGCCCAGGCATGGACATTTCTGAGGTGAAATGTCTCATTATGCCTGCGTTAATGCTTGCACACATGCAGACAGAGGCTGAAAAAGATCTATGTCCATTTTACATATTTCAATTATATCTTTTAATAATGCTTAGCAGAAAACTATGAAGTAGGGAAAGTAGAATTTTAAAAAGTCATTAAACATTTAAGTGTGTGTGTGTGTGTGTGGTGCATAGCATGTGTGACCATGGAGGTCAAAGGACACCTCCTGGACTGCTGTTTTCCTCCATCATGTAGGTCCCAGGGATCAAACTCAGTTCCCTCAGGCTTGGTAGCAGCCTCCTTTATCTGCTAAGCTGTTATGCCAGCCACAAAGCAAAGGATTTTTAAGGCCAAATAACCCCGTTATGTTCCAAATCCTAATTCTCTTTATGGAGCCAGCAAGTATATTTTAATACAAAGCTCCTTCCCTCCTCCCCGTGGAACACCAAGAACCAGTGCTGTTCTTAATGGAATGCCACAGTCTTTCCAAAAGGAGGACTAAGGACTGATACATTTTATTCCATCAAGAAAACAAGCAACACATTTCACAGTAGGAAATTATTTTGTTGAGTATGTATTAGATGATACATGTTCAAGAGTAGAAACAGTATTTAAGTGAGTACTTTTTTTCTGCTTCGGGAATGGGGCTAAGTTCATTTATTATTTTTACTGTTGATATTTGCTGGTGTTCCTTTACCAAATAGTGAGCTAAAAAAATCCAAATAAAGACACAAACAACAACAAACACTACGACTGGAAGTCAAAACTGAGACCTTTCTCTGCATTAATTTGCTGGTAATAAAGAAAAGACTATGCTTGTCCAACTACAAGAGCTTCACATCATGACTAGCCATGTAGCACACATGTTAGGGACCATTGGCCCCTGCACCTACACACACCAAGTTAGACACCTTTGGAACTATACCAGCTAGTAGGTGAGTCCAGGACACTCGGGACAGCTCCCAGAGTTAGCCATGGTTCCTGTTCCTTTACTGAGAAGAATTTCATGTCTAATTGAAAGCCTTTAACTCTTTAACAAGGGCTAATGCTTAAGGAAGCCTTCAAAGTGCTTGTGAGAAGATTACAAGGGCTGCCCTGTTCTAGAAATACTCAAGTGAGCATCCTTTAGACAGGTAAGTCTTCTAGAACATAGATAGTTTCACCTCTATGAAAACACAGATTCAACTCTGCCTGAGAAACCTCAAAAAAGGAAGAGGAAGTGTGGGCAAGAATGAAAGGTGTTCAACGCCCAGACCAAGGATTTGGAATCTATAGATCCAAATGTAATACCCATCTACTTCAGAACCTTTTATTAGCTACATGTCAGCTGTTTGAACCCAAGAATAACAGCACTCACTAGATTTAGTATCTCTTTAAAATATGTCACATGCAGTATGATGACATCATGCACTCTGGAATGCATGCTTGACAGCAGTCTCATAGATTATCTAGTAACATTCTTGCCAGCTTAGTTATACTGAGTCCAAATGATAAGACGGCATAAGGACACATTTTTCAAGATGAATACTTTCACTAAAACATGTGACTGCCTTTTTAAGTGGAAAAATGATATATTCAAAATTAATATAAAAACAGTACAGCTGGTCCCTCGGCTAATTGTAGCATAGCATCAAAAACAAGAAGTCAAATGTTAATGAATTATAATTAGTTGAACTATAAGGATCTCTATTTAACATTTAAAAACCAGACTAGGATATAGGAAAGCTCACATATAAGCCTTACACAAGTGTGTGGAGATATTATGTATATGTGTATTACAAAGACCAAAGAAATCCCAAAGATCAGCACAGCTGTATGATCAGTGCTCTAGCACAAAGCAGAGCATAGTCAGCCCTTGAATTCCACTTGAACTGCCTTCTACTACAGTTGTTGAAGACTTAATGCATACTCTCTTTTGGACCTGTTTTTTCCTGATACAGTAAAAACAGACGCTAGCTTTAGGAACACAGGTTAAAATGCAAGACTGGAAACACCAAGGAATGTAAAGAGGTCTTGCAGCTGAGTATGAGATGATCAAGCTGATCTGATATGGAGGACAGGATCTGGGGAAACAGCAAAGTTAGTGTCACCAGGTCCGCTGGCTTCCACTCTCTTGAGCCCCACCCCCACCAAGGAGCATACACGAGTCAGCCTTGTACACACAGCTTTGCATCTAATGCAGCTATTTATAATAGACTAAAGCCCCCGTTTATCCCAAAAAGGAAAGGATCACAGATCACCTTGCAGACAGGGAGCTAAATATGAGGTAACCAAGAACAAATGCAGCTATCTTGATAGGCATGGTAAGAGCTGACTCCTGATAGACAGTAAAGGAAAATGGTCCATGCTAATACTACAAGCTGGTCATGTAAACATGAGAAGAGAACATACTTTTACTAATGTATAGAAGACCTGGCCAAGGTCAGAGACCAGTAATGCCTTCAAGGTCAATGAGCTGCAATGCTGGCAGGGGCTTCTGACTAGCAGATAACCAAACCCATAAGCTAATAGAGTTATCACCCTAACTGGCCAAGCTGCCCAAGTATAGCATGTTATCATCTCCATGGGTTGTGTCAAGACAACTTGCAGTGTGTAGGGCTCCCTACGTGGCTTGGCCCATGACATACATACTCAAAGAACTAACCAATCCCATCAGGGATCATCCCTGCCCATTTTCTGCTGTAAGCCCAGATGAAAGGCTCTAGGCCAGTAGCTCAATGGCTATTCCTCTCTGGGATCCCCACCTCTTCTCCAGAGTTCCCTCTTCTTCCCTCATAAAAATAAACAGGTGAGCAAAAACCATGCTTCCACTTTCTCTACTTTCTTAGCTCTCCTCTTTTTTGTGTGTGTGTGTTCACTTTGCTTACTTCCCTGTGTCTATGTCTTTAGTAACACTGACAGACAATGGACACAATGGCTATTGACTCAGGTTGTCTTTTAGTGACTAATGAGTGTCTGGCACCCTAGTCCCCCAAGCCTAGTCCCCCTGGGCTGCAAAACTCCAGTGCTCCCAAAGATCTGCATCACTCTTCCTCAGTCTACTCTTTATGGAATCAGTTCATAGTACTGGCAGTTACAGAGTGCTGCCCCTATGCATTCTAGCATCCACTATGCAAATAAGCTGTGATTTACTTATCTACTCACTACTGGTGGCGTCTGGCAGCTTTCAGTTTGGGGCACTTATAAAGAATGTTTCTAAGAACATCAGAGTACACGCCTTTGTTTGACAGCGTATACATTTCCATTGAGTGTGAAGTTAAATTCATGACTCCTGTGGTATTTGTGTAGTTTTATTGTAGTTAGTTTTGTACACTGTTGACCTGAACTCCCATCAATGCAAAAAAAAAAAAAAAAAAAAAAAAAAAAAAGACACCGCTCCACAATGCTTATAATTTACTGACTCTAATGGCTATTTAACGTAAGGTTTTAGAAAAGAACATTAAAGAAGCCATGTATCAAACAGAATACTACTGTAATCAAACAGAAAGTTTCCTCTAAAATTCCAGGCTCTGCTCAAAGTATTTTGAAAAGCAATACAATTTGAAATTGCAAATCTGATCTTCAAATTTTAAATCAACACCATGAATCACTAGGGATGCTTGCTATAGACACACAACTTAGTGTACCTTCTCCTGTGAACCTGAAGGATATCTTACCAGGCCTAGGAAACATTCTGCATAGGAGTCTTGGGGCATTGGCATGTGTACAAGCGAAGCCAAGCAGGAAGTAACTATAGTGAGGGACTCTTTGGCAAGTTCAAACCCTGGCACTTTCTTGATATTGTCTCAATAGGATCTTAGTGTCTGGTTGATCTGAGGCCCAAGGGCTTTGCTTTGGAATTCCCAGCAGCATTGCAACAATCACAGCAGGCCATGTCTGATGTACAGTGCTTTCCCTCAGAGGAAACTGTTTTACTACTTACTGGGCCACAGAAGTTTGAAAGGACAGTGCTACACAGGAGAGAATGAGAGGTGTCATTTTTAGAATGTGAAGTATCCCCTCAGGACCACGTTCTGCTGTTCCACAGCTGGCAAGACCATTTTTGGAGGCTCTGGAACCTTCAGGGGGTGGGGCTTCATCAGTAGACATAGATTACTAGGGAGGGGGCTTTGAAAGTATAGGCTGGCCTCCAGCTCTGGCCTTGCTCTATGCTTCCTGGTCCTCTATCAAGAGCATAGTCTCAACCACATATGATGACCACTGCCATGCTTCCTCATCAGGATGAAATCGATTCCTTTCTCTCTGAGGTTGGTACTGTTAGGTACTGTGTTTACACTGAACAAAAGTAACTCAATAAACAATGTCAAAAAACCTGATTCCAAGTACTAGTGAAACATCCTTTCAACTTAGGTCCTCCTCCTAGTGAAGCATCCTTTCAACCTAGGTCCTCCTCCTAGTGAAGCATCCTTTCAAACTAGGTCCTCCTCCTACTGAAACATCCTTTCAACCTAGATCCTCCTACTAGTGAAATAACCTTTCAACCTAGTTCCTCCTCCTAGTGAAGCATCCTTTTAACCTAGTTCCTCCTCCTAGTGAATCATCCTTTCAACCTAGGTCCTCCTACTAGTGAAGCATCCTTTCAACCAAGTTCCTCCTCCTAGTGAAGCATCCTTTCAAACTAGGTCCTCCTACTAGTGAAGCATCCTTTCAACCTACGTCCTCCTACTAGTGAAATATCCTTTCAACCTAGTTCCTCCTCCTAATGAAGCATCCTTTCTATCAAGGTCCCCCTCCTAGTGAAGCATCCTTTCAACCTATTTCCTCCTCCAAGTGAAGCATCCTTTCAACCTAGGTCCTCCTACTAGTGAAATAACCTTTCAACCTAGTTCCTCCTCCTAGTGAAGCATCCTTTCTATCAAGGTCCCCCTCCTAGTGAAACATCCTTTCAACCTAGTTCCTCTTCCCAGTAAAGCATCCTTCCCCCAGGTCCTCTTCTGTGAATCTGTTCTACACTGTTGCATGGAGGATTATATAAACCAGGACATATGAAGGGATTGACACAACAGGAAAGTAATAAATCGGGTCTGAAGCTTCTAGGCTTCTCCCATAATCATGTACCTGATAAGGTTAGCAATTGTTTGCTAAATTTTTCTAATTATCTGTACATTAGAATTCAACATCTGTAAGAAAAGGGAATTAAAAGGGGAAAAAAAAAACCTGTACCATTCCACATGTTTCTTTACTTTCATCTTGGTTGTTGAAAACCAGAAGTCCCCTTACTTACAGCTAAAAGTGATTACAAACAGTAATTTGGAAAAATGTAGTAACAAGAAGTAACTGGAGGTAGCAGAACACTATAATTTAAAAACACAGATGAACTCTTCCAAAACTAGAGAACATTGCTAAGGGCAATATACAAATGATTTTTTTTTAAATGCAGCACTAAAACCACTTGAAAAAGCCAACATTTCAATTTGGCCTTTCAGACAGCTTTCTAAGTCAACATATTAAGTAGTCAAATGGCATTTATTCTGGAGATCAAAATGTTTCAAGTATCGTATTTCATTTGTAAAAATGCATATGAAAACCATTTTTATAAAAATAGATCTAATTCTGTGTACCCAAAAGAAGCCTACCATGTTTGTTCTATTAAGCTATGGAAAGCCTATTTGAAACGCTACCTGCCAATTACTACATATAAAAGGTAATTAAGAAACATTGGTGCTATGAGACGTCTCCCCCTGCTCTTCGTGGTTTGGTCTTTCTAATCATAAAACAAAACTGGTGAAAAACTTTGGGGGAACAGAACAATAAGACTTTTATTTAGAAGATAATTTGTAACTATAGATTGGTGTCATCTGTGCATTTGAAGTCACCATAAAAATCTCAAGTAGGTAAACTGAGATAAAGAAATAAACCATCAACAATCTGTGGAGTGTGGGGGAATTCCTTGAGTCCCTGGTACCCCAATTCCTTCTCTAAATGTGACGTCACTGTGTATCGTGCACGGATGCGGGTGGTCTAGAGGAGAAATGTTGAGAACAGTAATCAGCATCGTGCAAGCTCCCTAAGCCATAACAGCCATTACTAATGTCCACAGAGAACCATTGTGTGCTAGAGGACTCACGGGGCACTGTCACACCATAGTGCTGTGTGTCACTGATCAACAGCTTCCGCTTCAGCTCGTTCAGCCCAACCCCGACAGGACCTGAGAAACAAGACAGAGACACTAAGAACAATGGTCTAATCCCACATTCCCAGCAAGGAGTCTATTTCTAGCTAAGCTATACACAGGAAAATAATTGGGTTTCTAGAGTTGCTTCAGAGTGGTTTATATGCTTACCTTTTTTTTCTAGAAAACTTAAAATAAAACATATCCAAGAATACCTTAGCACATTACCAAGTAATCTATGTACAACAGCCTAAAATATGTTCCCCTACAAATTGTATTTTTAAATATTTTCAGATTTCAATAAAAGAAAATTGTTGATTTAATTTTGGAAACAAATCCAATTATGCATTTCAAATGTGCAAAGCCATGCTCACACTGAGCTTTGTCATGACACCCTACCCTACAGAATTTCAGACAGTCCTAGGCATCTGAAAGCTGCCACAGGCCTTGCACATTTAAATATATCAAATACACACACACACACACACACACACACACAGAGAGAGAACATATGATGAACAAAGCATGTGCTATGACAAAGAAAAGATGGCAGATACACTACATTGCATTTAGTGAAAATGGCTAGTCAATGAAGATATTGGGGCTAAACAAAAAATACCCAAAGAGTGGCTGTGAACAGTAGCCTGAAATCAAAAGTCATAAAGGTTACCAGCCTCAGGGCCAGCAACCTTTCCTCATCTTAAACCTCACACAACTTGTGGTTAGGTCTATGGATGAAAGGTAGAGAGATGCAGACAGAGCAGCGGCCGAGACCAGCCTACCTACAGCTAGGTCCCTCCCCATTCACTCCTAGACAAACTGCTCCTCCTGTGACACTAGAGAAGGTGATCCCACCCCAGTCAGCATCACAAAGCTCCCTTTCTTGGGAGAAGGGACGAGAACTTGGTATAGCACAGGCATCTGACTTTGCATTCCTCTATCTCCCCTTTCTCCTCAAATGTGGACCAGAGGGGTCCCAGGGAAAGGGTAATGATAGGCTTGCAGGCACACAAAGCTGAGGCCAGCCAAGTGGGCACTGTGAGTGTAGGGAACGGTGTGAGAGGCAAAGGGGCAGGACTGGGAGCCATACCTTCCTTACCCACTGGCACTTCTAGCCCCCACCCTGTCCCACTATTGCCTTCTACCTTTCCTCCACGGCTGTCAGGACCTTTTTTCTCTACCAACTTTCCTTTGTTCTCTAAGACTTGATATGCCCAAGTTGTGGTCACAGTTACCACAACTTAGTAGAACATATAGTTCCCCTCTCCAAACTAATATGCTCCCCTAAGAGACAGCATAACAAAGAAAAGAAAGGAATGTAATTTATGACAACACAACTTGTATTTTAGGATATGCACACTTGGGAGTGATCAGAAGGACAATGTACAACGAAGTCAAATGTCTGTATCCACTTAGGAGTTCAAAAGCCAGAGAGTACCAGCAAGTACTGAAACAAGGCCCCTGGGCACAGATAGAGTCAACACCAGCATTTGGATAAAAGCTATGACCAGGTTTACCTGAACATGAAGTGTCATGGATCTGCTACTGAGATGCCCTCCCTAAAGTTAGGTTCAAAGCTTGCATGGCAGCTGATGTGGCCAGATCATAAGGACTCGGCTTGGTCGATGGCTGAATGGTAGAGCCCAAGTCAGAAGGCGTACCTTGCCCTTGGAGCCTTCCTCAGTTTCATTCTTCTTGGTCACCATGAAATGAGTAGCACCCCACCTCCTCATGCCCTTCCACTCTGATGCTTCTGATTGCCAGGAGTCTCAAAGCAATGGAGTCAGCTGGCCATGGCTCGAACCTCCGAAACTATGATCCCACATAAATATTACTCATTTTAAGCTGTTTGCTTGGGTTATTTTGCTACGGTGACAAGGGTGACTATCATAAACAGAAAGAGAGAGGCAACCTTAACTGGCAAGAGGACAATGAGTCAAATGTCTCAAAGTGAAACAATACAAATGACTGGGCTTGATCTAAAGGGCAGCATGAGAATATTAACCTGGGTGCCGGAAGTGAATCCAATGCCACAGAAGGCTGGCGTCTAGCCCTACTCTAACTTTGGGTTATGTACCAAGTTCATGGGTTTCCTACACTTTCCCACTTCAAAGGGCGTGCCTCCCACTAATTACACATGCTTGCTTACTCGCCTTGATCCTCTAACAGACTGTGAGGTCTATGAATACAAAGACATCTCCTGCTTCCCTCACCTACTATTTCCACAGCTGGCAAATTATAGGTACTTATGTGCCTGCTTCCTGTTACTGGAGCAAGAGACCAGGGTCTCACACGTGCTAGGCAGGTGTGTTACCACTGTGCCACATCCTCAGGGCCTAGATCATATTCCATAAGGTACAAAAATCTGAAGAATATAGTCTTGAAAAAAGAAAAAGTGTTTCGATGGAATACCATTGCGTGTACCTTCCATCTATAGAAGAAGTGGACCCAGTTACTTATGTCCCCAAGCATGTCAAATACTAGAGCACAGTGGGCCCTGCTCCAGCAAAGATGAGTGGGATATGGGTGTTTTTCATAGGTCTCAGTTATGAAGCTCTTCCTAGAATGAGAGACTCTGAGGAGAAACAGAACTCTCTTTATTTCATGCACTATCCAAATCACAAGCAAACAAACTAAGAACAAACACTCCCCCCAGCCTCCAAAACCAATGATTTATTTTAGCTCAGGAGGAAAAAAAAAAAAAAAAACTAGATATGTGACTTAGTAGGGAAAGTTATGCCAAGTCCAGGATGTCACTCCCAAATTCTGGCCACACTCACTTTCAGTTCCTATCACCTCATCCTCATAAACAGATTCCAGACACCCACACTCACTCACACCAGGAATGACTAGAGAAAAAGATTGTGTCTGAATTTCCTAATGTTTAGATTATTCTAGATCATAATCTGCAAAGCTAGACATAGTCACATAAAAAGTCCAAAGGACAGATTTTCAAAACTGCTTCCCTGTGGGATCCCTGCTCATTTTGCACCCATGCTGAGGAGGAATGCAAGTCTCTTTACTGACTCTGAAAAACAGAAACAAGGCCCCACATTCACACCTGTGCCCTATGACCCCCTTTTCATGAGCAGATGCAATCACATCACTTTTAGTTGGCTTCTTTATATTTAGAACATGTGATCTATGTGCAGGCAATGTAGGGATATGAACAGGTTAACTCATACATGTGCCTCCGCTAAGAGGATTCACTGTGCCTTTCAATACATAAACCTTTATCACACTCAGTGAATAATATTCATGTGTACATAAGCAGATGACGTTATAGTTTGTTTTCAATGGTTCTTGTTAATGATAATGAATGAAAATCTTCAGTTCATATGGCTTTGGTTTGATGAGGACTCTAATAGAAGAGGTTTCCATGTGGCAGGCGTCTGTTACACAGACCATCAGAAACCTTCAACACATCTCTGAAAGGGTCATCATTATCCTCATGTTGCAGAAGAGGAAGCTAAGACAATAAGAGGTGGGTCTTTTGTTAAAGGCTACACTTGAATGCAACTCCCAAATTATTCCAAAGTTCCAGTCTACATTTCCACACACTGCCTACATTCTCATCAAAGCAACCTACATAAAGCATGAAGTCAGGCTCTGCACTGTCTATGGTGATGGTTTCCAATGCTCCAGCTTGTTGACTCCTTCCTAGTGCCCATACTTTCAACAGTTGATTACCTATGCTTGTGGCTAAGAAAACTGGTATCAATAAAATCTGCTGAGCTCTCCACACACATCCTGAAGACACTCTAGGAAGGCTAAAATAACCCTAAGTGTGTCCCAAACCTGGATAGCTTGGATGCATCTATTACGATATTTTTCATTTATGATTAGATTAACTAAAACAAAATAAAGATGATGACACTGAATTGACTTTAGTTTATTAATTTAGAATTGAGATGGTAAACTAAGGTTGGTGCTCTTTGTCTTTTTAGAAAGAGTGCTCATGGCCAAGCCAGGAATGGCACTCTGCAGCTGATTCACAGAAACAGTCTCTCCTAGAGGAAGGAGGGAGGTTCTCAGGACTTGGGGATGTTGCCAAGAAAGGTGTGCAATTCGCAGGCCCCTCTTCAGCAGTACATGATTGCCAGGGAGAGGATAATCTTGGGTGGAGCTGCCTGTGTAGGGAGCTCCAGGGATGCAGTTTTTGTATGTTATCGTCCATGCTCAGATGGGCCTGCCAGTGGTGCGGCTGACCCAGAGTCATCCATGCCCTTTCTAAGAAACCCCAACAAGTCCATTGGTTTGCTGTGCCAGACTTGTATGGAGTTGGAGTTGTTTCTCTGATGTATTGTCAGTATCCTACTTGGGGTGAATAGACGGCTTGTTCATGTCACCTCAGTAAAACTTACGGAATAAATGTAAATTAATTATATGCTTCATTTGATAAACATTTAATAGGGTTTAGGATCAAACTCAGTGGTAGAACACTGAGCTCAATGTACAAATTTAATTCCCATATAATAATCAAGTAAACAGGCCAGAGAGTTGACTCACAGTTAAGAGCACAGGATGTTCTTCCAGAGGAACTGGGTTTGGATCTCAGCACCCACATGGTAGCTGATAACAATCTGTAACTCTAGCACCCTCTTCTAACCTCTGAGGGCACTGCATATAGGCAATACACAGTCATACATGTAGGCATAACACTCACACACACACAAATAAATCTAGTTATCCAAAATTTTAAAATGCATTTTGTAAATCCTTGCAAAATAGCACTGGGAAGAAGAAACAGCACCATGTACATCAGACCACATTAGAAATCTTTGGAAAAACATAATTAAATAAAATTTCAACTTAATCATTCTACCTTAATAAAAAGAGCCAAAATAAATGTGATTTGTGTGTGTGTGTGTGTGTGTGTGTGAAAGCTAATTCATTCTAGCCAAAGAAATATAGCCATGTACAGTATCAATGACAGAAAACTCCTCCCCTAATTTTATGTGTTTGTTTTACAAGATAGAGTCTTATTGTGCAGCCCAGATTTGGCCTCAAGATCCTCCCGAGGCCCCTGAAAGCTA